TACTTCTGATTGGCTGCGAGTGTGTTTTGGAACTCGGTCCGACACAGTGGTCAAAAGCATTTTTCAAAAATCGCTTAGTGCACCTTTAATAGTGAGAATTGGTCCCCAAACTAAAGTGTGACCAACCTTCGGGTTACAAGTCCGACACTAACGATTAACAAGGGGATCATCACATGGGGTTCGCACCATAAAGTTTGAAAAAAGCAGTAGAGGAAGGGCACGAATTAACAGAGAGAGGTAGTGGGAAATGTTGCAAGCTGAATTCAAGCTTGTATGATCATTATAGCTTAAAAGTTTAAACATAGTATCTTGTTATGCAGTGTCTGTTTGTATGAATCCCTCTTTGCTTCCTCTACAGGAGCAGGCAGGCTCTCAGGAGGAATATGGGATCCCAGCTAATACACTGGACCCATCAATCAGCTGGAAGGATGTGTGCTGGCTCCAGTCTCTATCACGGCTGCCTATAATCATCAAGGGCATCCTTACAAAAGAGGATGCAGAGCTGGCCGTAGAGCATGGCGTCCAGGGGATAATTGTGTCTAATCATGGGGGCCGGCAACTGGATGGAGTGCCCGCAACGGTAAGGCAATCTATCAAAGTCTCAGTAGTTTAGATGTGATTCCCAGCATTCAAACAGATACACCTTGACCTTACATGTCACACAGATAGATTGTCTGCCTGAGATAATGGATGCAGTGCAGGGCCGGGTCGAGGTCTACATGGATGGAGGGATCCGCACAGGCAATGATGTGCTGAAGGCCATAGCCTTGGGAGCCAAATGTGTGTTTATTGGCAGACCAGCAATCTGGGGCCTCGCTTACAAGGTAACTGAGTGGAAAGCAGTATTTCTATGGTTTCTAATGCTTGAAAATCTATTTGAGCCTGTTCTAAAGTTTCCATTAACAAATCGGATGCCTGCATGATATTTGGTGCAGATAAGATGTTCATATACAGTATGTTTTGATCAGGGGGAGGAAGGAGTGAGAGAGATCTTACAGATTCTACATGACGAGTTTCGTTTATCCATGGCACTGTCAGGTCAGTCTGCTGTGTAGAATTCAATGAGCCACGTGTCGCACAACAAAAGAATGGGTCACGTTTTGATGTCTGACAATTCTCTTCATTTCAAATTGCCTCTAATTCTACTAGGTTGCCGAAACGTTGCTGAGATCAACAGGAACCTCATTCAGTTCTCCAGACTTTGAACAGCAAAGAGGACTTTAGTAATTTCTACTTTACCACTGACAGCAGAGCACCGCAAAGATCCACTTTATCCACTATTAATACTAAATCTATTCAAGAAACTACTGTTTTTTAAGTCACATTTAGCAAGAATGACATATTTAAAAATGTTCACAGTGTATGGATGGTTTTAATACAGTATTTGTATTTCAGTAATCATTATTTACAGCACTGCATAAATTCCACGCTGTTTTGACTGAGAGTGAATTATTTTAGAACCTGATGAATCTCCACTCAGTAATTATCAAATGTATTTATATAGCACTTTTTATAATACAAATTTTAAGTAAGTCAGTAATGCACGAAGACAACAAGGAATTTCATTCAAGACAGTGGTTTTGAAGGTGTCTTATGTAGCTGGCAACAAACTAATATGCAATAAGAAAAGTTTCAGATTTTGGAGCAAAGTGAGGTCAGTATGGAACAAATATTGAACATTAAAATATCCAATACGAGATTCTCAGAAGTAAAAAAAAGGTGTGTGTTAAATCAGTATTTATCTGACAATTAATTGCTACACTTTTTCTGTTGACTTCCTACTTTTTGTTAACTAAGTTAACTCGATTTTTCACTCTAAAAATAAACACATGGTACAAATGTATGCATTTATCTCATATTTAAGTGCATATTGATTCTTTCACTCTGCCCTTTACATAAAGATCGTTTGTTTTACAGTAAATAATCAGTACTGCTAGTGCAGCACATGAAAAATGCAAATCTGCTATTAGGCTTCCTCTTTTAACACCGGCTATGGGTTAACCTCATGAGTATCAAACACAACATCAGAGTGCAAATGCAGCTGAGGGAAGAGCAAAGGCTTGACCAGAAGCCTATTATAAGTAACATGTCAAAAGGAGGAAGATAGAACGTTTTGAAACAACATGTAAGGGTGTGTGTGTGCGAGAGAAAGAGAGAGAGAAGTGACACAGGAAGTCAATGAGGTTGTGGTAAACAGACTCTACATACCCATTTGTGTCGACTGAGTGTGATCACAGTGTGATGCTTTGTGCTAAAATGAGAAGACACTTCTGAAACCCCCAGAGAAAGCACCACGTCTCGGTAAGCTCCTTTTATTTAATGTAGTCCATCTTTCCTGAATTTTACCCCACTCAGAAACTTTACATTTGTGTGTCAGTGCTTTGAAGAGGATGGGTAAATATACTTAATAGTAAGTAGTAGAAAAATGTTCAGTAAGTTCAGTATTCAGCTTAAGTTTATCTGCCAATTATTTTGTGAACTTAACTAAAGAAAGACTCCCTCTTTCTATAAACACACATATATAGAAGAGGCCATGTCTGTCTAATCGGCATCACTGTGTTCGTTGCACATAGATGACAGAGCTAACTTCCCCTTTCAGACCTTGTTGTTGGTGAAACTTTTTACTTTGATCCAAATATTGTTCCTGCAGATCTGGTGAAACACTTAACCATTTGTTCTAATTTTTCTATCAGAAATCCTGTAAAGAGCAAATTTGCAAAGACGCAGACACAAAAGACATGGGGTAAGTTCTGACAGTCTTATTAAGTTATTGCATCATAGGCCTTACTTTAAAGGACAGTTTGGACAGACATGTTTTATACTAAACAAATATATTTATGAGCACATAAAATAACATTTGGTTAGTGAACTGTTAGTATTGGATACAAATGGTCAGTTAAATGTTTACTAATTATTATAGAATATTATTTTATCGTAATTAGAGGAAAGGAGGAATATAGGTCTTTCATGTGATTTGACTGTCAAAGTTTTAAATATGTCTTTATTTCAGCAACAGTGGAGAGGAAGGAAAACTGCATCGCAGACTTTCCCGAATAGGAAGCAGATCGCAGAGAGAGCCGCCACGACCCCCTCCTCAAACAGACAAGCCTCCAACAGTGGCTCCTCCAAGCCCAGCTGAGACTGCTCCAAAACCTCCAGAACCTGCGCCAAAACGAGTTGTAATCCCCCCAAAACCTCCAGTGGTTCAAAAGCCCACTGCCCCTCCGAAGCCACAAATACAAGTGTTCAACAGCACAGAGCATGGCGCTGCCATTCTCAAGGTAAGACAAAGACATAAGAAAAGGTAGACACAAACTGCCTAAAACAGAGAAATACAGTGTACTTACAAAGCAACAATGGTGTATTTCACTGCAAATAGTATATATTAATGGCAAATTTTGCCATGTCCCAGGGGTTGGATTGTTTTCGTGGTGATGAGACACTTTGCGATGTGACTCTGGTTCCTGGTGACAGCAGTGAAACTTTCCCAGTTCACAGGGTCATCATGGCTTCAGCCAGTGACTACTTCAAGGCCATGTTCACAGGTGAGTCTGGCTAAATCCAGGAGGAGCAGCTTTAGCTGTCAAACCTAATTAATAATGTTGACAGTTTTTTGCAATGCCCCTGTGGTTTAAATGTGTTACCTTTTTGTAATGCTTCATATGCTTGCTGTTGATCAGCTGATTCTGGTTGAGCCTGATCCTCCTATTTATCCATGTCTTGTGTTTTGTGATTATCACACAAATTTAGGGATGTACAATAGATCTATACCATATTGGTTATTGGCCGATATCAGACATTTTATTTTTTATTTTTTGTTATCTGTCGATATAGGATATTTGATTGTGCATACTCTGTTGCCTTATTTTTACATTGCTAAATTAAAATATACTTTTTAGAAACAATAATAATTTAATAAAACTTAAATGTAATTTATCAAATCATCTATCAAATACGTTGTTATGATGTCTAAATTCCCTTAGCATTTAAAACAATGTTTGTAGACAAACTTTGATAATGGCTTGAGAAAGCCAAGCCTGAAAGTTTAAAATAGTTTAAAACTAGATGGATGGATCCAAAATGTTAATATATGTAATATTTTGTTCAAACGTGTTTATGTATTTGTTCTGCATATTAGTTAGTTAGGTTACCAACGAAAAGCATTTCCTCCTTGCAATATATTTCTCACTGATCCACACTGATCTATTTATTTTTCTTAATTCCCTCTCCCTTTTGGTGTGGCAGGTGGCATGAGAGAGCAGGAGCTGAAGGAGATTAAGCTCCATGGCGTGAGCACAGTCGGCCTGAAGAACATCATCGAGTTCATCTACACATCTCGTGTGAGCCTGGGTCTCGGTACCCTTCAGGACACACTAGAGGCTGCAAGCTTCCTCCAGGTGCTTCCTGTTCTCAGCTTCTGCAACCAGCTACTCAGCAGTGAGGTATAAATCCGTAACATGTGGTGTTTATTCTTCCTTTTGCGTGAATTATTCATCTGTGCATGACGTAATAAGCCAGGTATTCTACATGGCAGATCACTATAGAAAACTGCGTGGAAGTTGAGCGCATTGCCAGAGATCTTCTTCTGGAAGATGTCCAAAGACACGTCCACACTTTTGTGTGTGAGAACTTCTCCTTGCTGGTGCAGAGCGGCCATCTCCTGCAGTTGTCCGAGGCGAGCATAACGTATGCCCTCTCCAGTGACTCTCTGAAGGGTTTCTCCGAAATGGAGCTGTACCGCATCGCCCGCTCCTGGCTGTCCCATAAACCTAGCGAGCGGCGTTCTGCTGTTTACTCTCTGATGCGCCACATCCGCTTCCCTTTGATGTCCCCTGCTGAGCTCCTCCAGATCTCTCAGGAGGACCAGACTGAAGAAGGAGCAGCAAGCAGAGGAAAAGAGGAACGGGAGACGTTCATGCGATCAGACACGGCCTGTGTCAACCTCCTCCTGGAGGCCAGCAACTATCAGATGCTTCCCTTCCTCCAGCCGACGCTGCAGACGGAACGGACCCGGATTCGATCCAATTGCACTCACCTGGTGGTTCTGGGTGGTGTGATGAGGCAGCAACTGGTGGTCAGCAAAGAGCTCAAGCTGTACGATGAGGAAGACGGAGGCACTTGGAGGTCCCTCCAACCTATGGAGGTGCCACGTTACCAGCACGGAGTGGCTCTTCTAGGGGGCTTTCTTTACATTGTTGGAGGTCAGAGCACTTACGACACCAAGGGTAAGACAGCTGTGGACAGTGCGTACAGGTATGATCCTCGCTTTGACCGCTGGTTGCAGGTGGCCTCTCTGAATGAGAAGAGGACGTTCTTCCATCTGAGTGCTCTTAAGGGGAAGCTGTATGCTGTTGGAGGGAGAAATGCCACTGGGGAGATTGGTAAGGACATGTTTTACCAATTACTCTGTACAAAATGTTCTGTCCTGTCTTAAAATACTGTGGAAAAACAGAAAACTGTCTGTTGTTCAGATTCGGTGGAGTGCTACAACTTGAACAATAATGAGTGGACTTTTGTTGCACCGATGAGTGAACCTCACTATGGACATGCTGGCACAGTACATGGAGGTCAGATGTATGTGTCGGGTGAGTATCTACCTTCATGTGAGATCAATGTGAATAGCACATCTATATTATATGTAGTTGTGCATTAATGTGGTAACATCTGTCCTACATAATGAGAGGAGATTTTGTATACTAATTAAAAGTGGCTCACAAAGCATGTGGCCTTAATCCACCACAGTCCTCTGCATGAGTCTAATGAATGCACTGCACAAGGATTCTTTTATTACTCTTAAAAAAAGAAGAAGAAAACACTTTTTGGAGGTCTCTTAGCAACTTTGCAACCTTCACCTAATGGCGAAGTTCCCAGAACTAGAGGCAAAAGTAACATGAAACAGATAACCAGTAAACAGAGTAGCTTCAAGCTCAACTGGGTCACTCATCTGAGGTGAGACCGCAGCCTAAAAAGGGCACTGCATGCTTAATGTGAAAGCATGAGAATGTCCCTACTTGAAGAATCACAAAGTTTTCAAAAAGCATTATGGAAAATAAGGTAATTTGAAGAGAAAAAAATGAATTTGGGGTAATGGGAAGATAAAAAATAATAATATAGAGGCATTTTGGGGTAATTTCCATCACACCAGGATTTTTCAAAAGGCAGTGTACTTCTTTACCAAAGATACAAAAGTGTCAGTAAAAATCATGCTTGAGAAACATGTGATGCTTGAGAAACATGTGATGTGTGAAAAACATCAAGCTGGAAATCACATGTGAGTAGAATGTTTTCATTTTGTGTCATTTTGCATTATTTCAAATGATGCAAAAAGTTTGAAAATATATTATACATTTTATTTTAATAAATAAAATTATATTACACTTAAATTATACATTTAACTATTTTTTACATTTACTTTTATTTTTATAAAATTACACTTATCCAGACTGCGAACAGTCAGTAATTTTACCTCCTAAAAGTTACAAATATAATTTTCACCATTGTCATTTCCACCACAGAATGCAATTAAACACAAAACATCATGTGGTGGAAATGGTGGTGGGACTTTTTCGGACTTCTCCTGTGATTTTTACTTTGTTGGTGGATTGTTAAGTTCTGTGTAAGTAGTGGCCTTAGTATAAGAAAAAGTTCTATACTTCCAGCTACGTAATCACATTCTTTCTGCTGATTTGTGTTTGTTTCTGCAAGAATAAATAAGCTTGTTCTTAAAAGTTGCATTCACCCTTTATACCATCAGGTGGTATTACAAGAGATGCTTTCCAGAAAGAGCTGCTGTGTTATGACCCTGATAGAGACGTGTGGAGCAGGCGAGCAGACATGATGGAGCTTCGTGGTCTTCACTGCATGTGCACCGTGGGCGACCGCCTCTACGTCATGGGTGGAAACCACTTCCGGGGGACAAATGACTATGATGATGTGCTAAGCTCTGAGTTCTACAGCCCTGCAACTGACCAGTGGACAGTGGTGGCTCCCATGCCCAAGGGTCAGAGCGATGTGGGGGTGTCCATCTTTAAGGGCCGCATCTACGTGGTGGGTGGTTACTCCTGGAACAGCAGGTGTATGGTGGATATCGTGCACTGTTATGACCCTGAGAAGGATGAGTGGGAGAAGGTCTTCAGTGTCCTGGAGCCTCTCGGAGGCATACGGGCCTGCACTATGACAGTTCATTGCCCAAGACGTTCAACAGATGAGGCTGAAATACAAGAGTGTCCTCTTTTAACATCCAAAAGCTGAACAGATGGTTTAATATTGTTATTAGCCTTTAAATGTGAGATACTGAAGTTAGCTTCACATTGCCAGTGATGTGTGTTGCAAAAACAGGTTGAATGATTTGATTACTGTACATGCCAATTTATTAATGTCTGAGCTGGGGTGAGGGAAAATAATTTGCTTGTAAAAAAAAAAAAAAAAAAGGGGAGTTAGGGCACCATTATTTGTTTAAATGTGCATGACTGTGTTTAAATGCTGTTCTCTTTCAATACCTGATGCCACATTTGATGGCCACAGTGCTGAATACTGCATCTCTAAATTATTCTGCATCGCTTAAATTTGCTTCAATTACTTTTATATGCTTTGCAAAAAATGTTTTATTTTAAATCAGTTAATTTGTGTTTGGTATCTTTAATGTACATTTCTCTTAACATAAAATGTCTACTGATTCCATTCAAGCAAAATAAATAAATAATATGAATTAATCCTGCACTTCTTTATTTATTTATTTATTTTTCAAATAAGGGCTAGATAATATTCACATACATAGGATCATGTGACACAGAAAACAGCTATTTTAAATTGTATTTAACAATATTACCGTTTGCACTAATTGTGATCACATAAATGCAGCCTTGGTGAGCATAAGATACTTCTTATTGACCCCAAACTTTTAAACAGTAATGAATAATCACGTATGACAAAACAGTTTAAACTAAAATAAGATGTGATCCATATATTGTAAGTGGTTGTGTGTACAGTGCAGAATGTGTCCTACAACCTTGAACGGTTCATGTTTTGGTGAAGTCATCAGACAGATTATCAGAAGACAAAGGACAACAACCCAAGGTCTGTAGACACCCAGAGTAAATGTAAAAGACTATTACAGTCAGTACTGTAAAATTACTGAAGAATGTTCCCTCTCTCATATCCACATAAAGGCAATCTAAGCTGCTAATAGAGGTGGAAAAGTCAACATGATCAATTACCTGATATAAAGCTGGGTTATAGTAAGGATCACTCCAAAAGTAAAGTAACTTTCAGGCCAGTTTGTGTAATACATATGTCGGTATCTAGTAATATTTTAGTAAGATAGCAGTTTTGGAAATAATTTGTATTTTATTTTATTTTGCTCAAAATACAAATACAAACTTGTGAAATGGTTACTATACCCCTGAGTTCCCCTTATGTATCTTTCACAATGTCTATTTGAAAACATGTAAAGCCATTGCATAAAACCTGTTTGGTTTATTTCACGTCAGTAGTGGCTTTCTTTGTAAAAACAGGAACCCTAAAAATAAGCAGAGTGCTGACTAGCACCTTGACACTGTTTTTCAACTCCCGTCCCCAACCCGTGGCATTGAGGCTGTCCTTGGTAATAAGGCTTAAAAATGCACCACCCTCCCAGTCCACTCCACCATTAAAACTCCAGACTCTGCCTTCTGGAACGGTTTCATCATAGTGGCATAATACAAAGTGCTGGCAGGAGTGAAGTGGTGCTGGTGGCAGCTGCCATGACTCTGTCGGGAGATGTGTGTGTTGTGACGGGAGCCTGCGGGTTTCTAGGAGAAAAGCTGGTCAGACTGTTGCTGGAAGAGGAGAAGCTTGCTGAGATCCGGCTGCTGGATAGAAACATCCAGTCTGAGCTAATACAGTCATTTGATGGTTAGTGGATACTTCCATTACAGCATTTCTCATCTTGTATTTCTCCTTTTTGGGGATTCTGTTGGTCACTTTTTGAATTCTTCGGTTTTGTGGTGTCTCTCTATTAGCTGGCATTCTTCATCCTGTTTTGCACTTGAAATCAGCCTTTGCTTGTGAATAATATGACTAGAGATAAGGTAAACTGTTCACATGCCATTATCATCTGTTTGTGTCCTCAGATTGCAAGGGAGAGACTAAAGTGAGTGTTTTTGAGGGGGATATCAGGGACCGTGAGCTATTGAGAAGAGCCTGTAAAGGAGCAGCACTTGTTATCCACACTGCATCTCTCATTGATGTCATTGGAGCAACTGAATACAGTGAATTATATGGAGTAAATGTTGAAGGTGAGAGTTCTATGCTGTTCTTTAGCACATGGTAACAAGACTGAATCAATCTGAGCTAAAAGGAAAAAGACTGATTCAAATTTCCTGAATGAATGTTGTGAGTTTGGTCACAATTTTTTTTACAGTTTAAAAAGAATGAGACAAGAAGAGCGCATCGGTTCCCAACTGGGTGTCTGGGGCCCACTAACTTCCATGGGGGCCTCAAGATGACTTAATAGGACTTAAAACAAGCATTAAATGGGCTAAAACAACTAAAAATTAAGATATTTCGTATTTTAATTCATTCCCTAAACAACATACTTTGTCTCTAAAGAACCAGGATTACCACGGTCTTGGAAAACCTGGGAAAAACCTTGTAAATTAATCACATTTTAAAACGCCATGAGCATTTTTATAATGAATACACATTTGTGTAGGTATACCAAGCTCTAAAATATTTTATCAGGTAGAAATTGTAAGTTAAAATATTTTGTAAAAATCCTTATCCTTAATGCTTATGCAGTAAATCACAAACAACTACTATCCTTGAAGAACACTGAGCTCTTGAAACGTATGGAATCCTGTAATGCAGTTATTTTAATTTCAATTATAATTATTCTAGTTACTTATTTTAATCTATGGACACTGTAAATAATAAAAAAAAAGTTTTGAAAACAAAAGCCTGCAAGGGCCTTCGGTTATAGTTGTGAACCTTGGAGTCAAACAGGTTGAGAACTACTGATTTAAATGATACTTGCATTAGCAAATCAAATAAAACCATCAAAAATTCACTTTGATGATCAAAATATGCCAACACTACACGATATAGTAATCAGAGACAATAAAATAATGTTTGTTTTTCCATAACAGGAACACAGCTGCTGCTCGAGATCTGCATCCAAGAAAACGTGGCCTCCTTCATTTACACTAGCAGCATTGAGGTGGCAGGTCCCAATCCCCGCGGTGATCCAATCATTAATGGCAATGAGGACACCCATTACTCCTCCTGTCTTAAGTTTAGCTATAGCAAAACCAAGCAGGAAGCTGAACAGATTTGCCTTCAGGCCAATGGAGAGCTGCTCCATAATGGAGGTCAGCTGGCTACTTGTGCATTGAGGCCCATGTACATCTATGGACCAGGCTGTCGTTTTACTTTAGGCCACATGAGGGATGGAATCCGCAATGGAAATGTGCTGCTGAGAATGTCACGACGTGAGGCAAAAGTGAATCCTGTATATGTGGGAAATGCAGCCCTGGCACATCTACAAGCAGGTCGGGCTCTCAAAGATTCTCAGAAAAGGGCTGTGATGGGTGGAAACTTCTATTACATCTCAGACAACACGCCACCTGTTAGCTACTCGGACTTTAACTATGCTGTTCTTTCACCATTAGGCTTTGGGATACAAGAGAGGCCCATTCTGCCCTTCCCACTTCTGTATCTCCTGTCATTCCTCATGGAATTACTGCACGTTGTGCTCCGACCTTTTCTGAAGTTCACGCCTCCCTTAAACAGGCAGCTACTGACCATGTTAAACACACCCTTTAGTTTCTCATATCAAAAGGCTCATAGGGATTTTGGATACAGCCCTCGCTATGACTGGGAAGAGGCACGTAAGTGCACTAGCGATTGGTTAGCGTCTGTCTTACCTGCAAAGAGACAACGAATTAACTCGAAATAAATTAAAATCATGTTTAACAATACTGTGCTGCCTGTATTTCTAAGGAGCCATGTTCTGTCTGATGTTTTACAGTAAACTTTCCTTCTAATTAGATCTCCGGTAGTCAAAAAAATTGGCTGTCTAATGTTCTGAATAATGCACGTTTTAAAGTAAAAAAAAAAAAGAAAAATCTTGGAAATTACTTTATATTATGTTTACAATTATCTCACAAATAAAAAATAAATATCCATATAAAGGAAAAAAAGTAGTTGTAATAAAAAGTACTAAAACTTTAACATAATTCAAGAGAAGATTTTATGACTATATTTTCTTTTATGACTTTAATCATGTATTTTAAAATTAAAAAATCATTTCAGAAATGAAGACAAACCAAGTATCAATGCTATTTAGGCACTACTTTCGAATTTGGAATGACTTGTAAATAAACGAATGTATATTGTGGTAATTCATAGGCCTGCCTGTTTGAGTCTGTATATTACTCCACTTGTCTGTTGTTGTTGTTGTAGTGTTGAGGATTTTCCAGTGACCCGTATTGCATGTTACATTGTTAGTAAGTGGCGACAAGTCTTTATTCATTTACTGACAATGGAGAACAAGTCATTTTGAGGAAACCTGCTAAGTTTCGTGAATATTTGATGCGCAGAAAGCTACCAGTAATTTCTAAACTATCAGCCATTTTAACTGAAAGAATGCAGTAATACTAATGTTGTTCACAGTATAAGGAAATCTAATCTTTGTCTATAATTTTTTTTTATCAGTTAGAATGATACTGCATAGATCCAGTTTATTTGTAGAATTATGGTGCACTGGTAATATATGTAGTAGACATGAAAGAGTTAATGGGTTTGCTTATGTCATGTGATCATGGTGAAATGTCAGAAATATCAGTCTGTGCAATAAAAGAAAAGTAGTAGAAAGTACTTCTGCCTTACCGATATTTATTTTTTGTGTCACAAATGCATTCAATAGGGTCCTCACAAATGTCCATAACTTAGTCTCTCCGTGGCAAAGCAGCCATTAAAATATAGTTTGATATAATTATATAGAAATCTGTGAAATTAATAGATCAACAAATGTTATTATAACTTTTATAGGCTATATGTTATCCAAATATCATTGAAAAAAGATTTGTCAGCTTGCCTGGCACGATTAAATATAAGGAAAGAAAGAAAGAAAGAAAGAAAGACTGTCACGGAATTGTGACGTAAGTTAATAGAGGTGCTGATGAGAATGAGAATGCAAATGACAATCCTTTTTAATGGTAAAATTCATGCCTGATGATATTTTCAATTAATGATATCATTTTTGATGTAAATGTAGCCGCGAAGGGCTGAGTTGAGTGTGAAAACTGCTTGATATTAAAATTTATTAAAGCCGTGAAAAATAACCGTCTTGTCCGTCCTGGCAAGCCTATTCACGTAAACACAGTCGGTTATGTATTAAGTGAACCTAAATAGTTGGAAAAGAAATCAGATGTGTCAATATAGTGCATTATGATGCTCAGTTTTTCTCTGTTACCATTTACAAAGTCAACGAGAAGTTAATGCCTAGTAGCAACAGCCATTTTGCAGAAGATGATGAGTCTGGACTTGAACAAACAGCTGATGACGTCTTTCAAGTGGGGCCAACTGATTGTGTTAATTTTACTTCAATCCAGCAAAAACTCTTCTGAGAGTTTTGTGCCAAAGAGGCCAGAGTCCTGCCTCTGGACAAACAATCAAACATTTCATCTGTGAGGTCATAGGTTCACAACCAGCTGCAGAGCAGTGGACCGATCATTTGTTATTCATTGTTATAGTCAAAGCCTACAAAGAGTCTCCACTAGCTACACAAGCTATCACGGGATGGATGCTGGGAATTAATGTCTCTCATGCTGACATGCTTTATAACAGCACACCAGCAATGGAAGGAAAAGCCATTCATCTCACTTAATCGGATATTGTAGCATTTTTCTCAGAACCAGACAATCTGTGTAACAGATTGTGGCTGGATATTAAGTGGATTCCAGGCTTATTAGGGCAGCTAGTTGAAGAACATGCGTTGAAAGGATGCAGAAAGAGAAAGAATGATTTTGCACCCAAACAAGTATCTAACCAGCAGAAACATCTCACTCAGCTGATTTCATCATTTTGATCAAGACATGGCTTGGAAATGGATAAAGGCTTTTGTTTATTTGTCAACGTGTGTCACCTCTGCTGTGGGTAAGTTCAGTTTAGTTCAATATCACACAGATTAAATCTTTAATTGTGGCAGTTCTATTGGGTGAATGCACCACCCAAATTCAAATGATCTGCAGTTTTAGTTAGACGTTTATTTGGAGAAAGAGAAACATTGAAAACTTAAGTTATAGTGTGTCAGTAAGTGGTTCACTGATCAACAGTTGTAAAGTATGTACAGAATTTGATTGTAGTGATTTTAATATTTATAAATCCATTGATTAATTAATTGATCAATTAAATTAAACTAAACCAGAGACAATCTGACCTCTTTAAAACAAATACAGAAGCACACTGATACAAAAAAAAGCATGTTGAATTGCTCTTATTAAAATAAAAATTGCATTGCATTATCAGTGCTTGAATTTTTGGTGCCTGCAATTTAACATGTTTTTAAATTGTATTCACCTTCCAAAGTTCATTTCCAGCTTTTGAAAATAACAGTACCATGTTTATTATTTAATATACAGTATAACGTTTTACTTTACAAATTCAGCTTTACAAAGTCAAACTTACACATCTGGGGACAGCAGAGACAGCAGTGTCTGGTGAATCCAGTGAAGCTACCAATTACAGATTAAAATCTCAAAACGTTTTGACGTTGCATACTCATGAATTCCATGCATACAATTTTACAGGTAATGAGGAAGCTTCCCGAACGAAGTGTGCTGACTTCAACAACACCACGTGGCTGGAATACAGACAGGGCACCAAGCTCCAGGTTCAGTATCTTCTTCTTACACGAAATAATGCAGACTGCGCCAGCCTCTTCACACAGGACTGCCTCAACCATATCCAGAAGCACACGGCTTACTTCAACTCATCACTCCCCACCAAAGTCATAGTTCACGGATACAGGTAAAACATTTAATCGGCAGCATTTTATAATAGGAAAGCAATCCTTGTGAATTTGATTTTACTCAGATGATTCTTTGATATACTATGTTTCAGGGCTCTGGGCAGTAAACCTTCGTGGGTGAGTGGCTTAGCCCAGGCTCTACTGCGGGAAGAGAATGTGAATGTTCTGGTGGTCGACTGGGTCTATGGAGCCTCCTTTGCTTATAACCTGGTGGTTGAGAACTACAAGGAGGTGGCAGTGCAGATTTCAGTGCTTATCAATCAGCTTACGGTAAAAGCCTCAATGTTTTGGTTATGTTCAAGTGTTACAGAATCCATAATAAAATACTTGACCACTGAATACTAAAGGCTGTCTTTTTAGAGCAGTGTCCATATGCTAGAAGTAATAAACATAAAATTGTTCACAATGATCAGTAGACTACACAGAAAACGTATCACAGTAAACACATAGAAAGTACAAGAATAATATAATTTTTGTATAGTACGTTGTATAGTACGTTTGTATAGTACAAATAGTACATTTTTGTTGTTTTGTCCTTTGTAGAAATATGGAAGCACACTGGAATCTTTCCATTTCATTGGTGTGAGTCTTGGAGCACATGTGTCTGGATTTGTTGGGACCCTATTTGAAGGCAAGCTGGGTCGAATTACAGGTAATATTTTAATAAAATTTCTAAAATGCATTAATATACAGTGGAATCCCAAAGTAAGAGATCATATTGAAAATAGGTTTCAAAATCTTCAAAAGCTGTCATTAAAGCAAAAGTGGACATAAATATTAATATAGGCTATTTTAAAATTTATACAAAAATTATCAATAAACAATAAAAATAAATTAATACATAATGACATTTTTTCATTTTCATTCTTATGCTGACAATATGTCATGTTAATTTTTATGTTCATAATATCTTTTGTCAATAAAAGAAATCTATGAAATCAGAAAGAAATGCTGGTCTCAGGCTATATTTGTGCCCTAAATGTTACCTGTATTTTAAAGGGGTCATATGACGTTGCTAAAATGAATATTATGTTGTGTATTTGGTGTAATGTAATGTGTTTATGCGGTTTAAGGTTAAAAAAACACATTATTTCATTATTTCATTATTGTTGCTCCTCTATGCCCCGCCTTTCTGAAACGCGTCGATTTTTACAAAGCTCATCGTTCTGAATGCTGATTGGCCAGCTATCCAGTGCGTTGTGATTGGCTGAATACCTCAAGCGTGTGACGGAAATGTTACGCCCCTTACCATACTGTGATGCGGGCTGTACTCCGCTTCGTCCACGGTGAAAGCCGACCCAGCGATCCACAGCACGACGTTGATGTATTTCCTCAGCGACCAGCAAGGATCAGCTCTAGGAATGACGAAGCGGATATCGTCCTCTTTTGGAAGGCCAAACAAAGTAGTTCCGCTTTCACAACGAAACACAGCATCTCCACGACATGGCGGTGACGACAACAACAATACTGCAGCGAGAATAAAAGTTAGGCTACGCCTTCTTTCTTAGCGTGAACATTTGGGTGGCATTATGCAAATCTTCCCACACAGTGACGTAGACATGTGGGGGCGTGTTTAAACGAGGCGTTTTAGGAGGGCGTGGACAAGTCTTAACTTTTATAAAGAATATCTCTTTGGGTTTGAGACTTTAGTCTTTGCAACTTTAGGGATCTTATCTATGCACGAACAGCTTGTAACACTCCAAAGAGAAAGGAAAATTTGAAATTGCATCATATGACCCCTTTAATAGTCTCTTCTGATTTTGCATAATGCTATGTAATGATGCCACATGCTGTTAATTCTGTTGTGATAAGACCTTTGAAAATGCTACACTTGAGTGGAACAAAGACCAACACTGCACTACACTCAGGTCTTGCAAAATCGCTAGCCCGACGTCCCGGGGCTACAGTCGGCCTACCAAAATGCATCGCCGGCATGCCGACGGGCTATCTTGAATAGTGATACAAAATTCCTTCCTTGATTCGCCTTGTAGTGTTGAAACGGATCGTAGTTCATCATTTGCAGCATTTTAAACCATTCAAGCGCAAGGCAAAAGAGAATCAGTAACGTGAATCTTATTGCATCGTGAGTTGACTGAATCGTTGCATCCCTATATATGCTACTAGTTTTTGCTGTGGTATAGTAGTGTTCTTTAAATAATAAATGTTAATAAAGAAGCATTTTTTGCTCATCAGAAAAATTATCTGATCTGTGACTCAAAATCTGAAATATGATCCGAGCCGTGAGTTTTGTGATCCTTTGCACCCCTACTCCCTTGACTTGTTATTTGAAGAAAAAAATATAATCACTATAGTTTTTGATCATGCTGATTTTTCCGTAGTGAAGTTCAGCCATTGTCCATTTTATTTAGGCTATAGTTAAATTCATTTTGGGCTACCAAAATCTGAAGAATGCCTGCCCGATGGGCTACCAGGGATTTTTAAATTTTGCGAGCCCTGACACTGAATGAGGCTTTCTGACACAAGCAGAGGACTCCAAATGAACAATGAGAAATTGTTATGCTGCACAGCCTTGGCAAGAAAACAAGACCTTGTTTGACCATTCGAAGAGTTTAAGATTTATGTAGAACCCTAAAAGTGTTTAAATTTGAATAATTTAGTATAATACAGAACATATATCTGAGTTTTGTACCCTCAGGTCTGGACCCAGCAGGCCCAATGTTCAAGAGTGCTGATCCATTTGATCGTCTGGATTCATCTGATGTTTTATTTGTTGAGGCCATTCACACTGACTCTGCCTGTAAGAGTGAATCAGTCCTTTGCCTGAAATTATCTACATTTATTTTTATTTATTCAAGAAGCAGTCTAATATTGAACAGGACACGTTTCTTGAAAGATTTATCTTGATTTATTATCTAACCACAAGCGTTCATATAAGTGCCACTGGTGCTATTGTCAGTACCGAAGTATAGGTTATTTGTGCACAACTGAACTGAATATCTGTACATTTGCCAGATTTTGGTATATCTATTCCTGTTGGGCATGTGGACTTCTTCTTAAATGGTGGAATGGACCAAGCCGGTTGCGCACGTTCAAAGTTTGCTTCAAGTAAGTGGACAACAAAAGCTGACCAAACGCTAACTGAGACATTAAGCTAAATGAAATGTACCGCAGCTTGATGCTGAGAATCTGTCAGTTTTTATCTACTTTCCAGTGTATGGTTATGTCATTTGTGACCACATGAGGGCACTGCACGTCTACATGAGCGCCCTGAACAGCTCCTGTTCGCTTATTGGTTTCCCCTGCTCCAGCTATGAGGAATTCCTGGCAGGAAAATGTATCACCTGCGAGGGCCCCTTCAATGGCACATGCCCACAAATAGGTAATCATGAATAAGCAGTATGAAAGGAACATCTTTTTAGAAAGTGTTTCTGTTTATGAACACAAATAGTGTAAAAAATTTGAAAAAGTTTTCCTATTTAATTGTACCAAAGTATTTACAAGTAAACTTAATTCCTTTTGCTTTTGAAATTAATTGCTAAAACCAGGACATACAGTGGAAATTTTCTTAATAAAGTAAAGCAAAAAACCTTTCTTCACATTTTTAATTGACTCTTTAGAGAATGAATTTTTCATAAGGAGGATGGTTACAGTGTTAACCATCCTCTGTAACCATCCTCCAGTTAACACACAGGTCCTCAGTCTGAAGGACTGAATAATAATTCTGAGGGGTTTTGCATGCTAATCTAATCTTGGATGGTTATGACCTTAATGTTCTAGTTCATTTAGGTGCTTAATCTGTCTTAAATTTCTTTTGTATACATTATGGCTTGCTCCAACTGGACAATGTATCACTTGAGGCTGATTATGTAACAAAAGGATAACATTGTTTCAGGCCTTTGATGCCCAAGTGTGCTCCTTCACTGTCTGTTTCTATATGTGTGTGTATTTCAGGCTTGTTAAAAGAACAGTGGGATAACAGCGACTCCCCTGCCAAATCAAGAGAAGGTCTATCTCCTGACCACTGCTACGGCTCCTTATTGTGGTGTGCATATTGTGCATACATATTGTGCATACTTTGTGCATACTGTGGGTATTAACAGCTTTTTAGTAATGATGCATCAAAGTGATCAAAAGTGATAGTAAAGACTTATTACATTACATTATTACAAAAATTGCATTTCAAATAAATGCTGTTTTTTCTAACTTTATATGCATGAAAGAATCCTGAAAAAAATAATAAAATATTAAGCAGCACAACTGTTTTAAATATTGGTAATGATAAGAATATTCTCATATTAAGAATATATCATAAGAATGATTTCTAAAGAATGATGTGACTTGGAAGACTGAAAATGATTATTTAAAGTTGTAATAATATTTCAAAATGTTACTTTTTACTGTATAGTTGATAAAAAATAAATGCAGGTGAGCATGAGACTTCTTTCAAACACATGAAAAAATCTTGACCACAAACTTTTGAACAGTATAGTCACACCCCAAAAATATTTTTGTGTACTGCTATATGTAACAGCTTATAAATGTTCATGAAAAATACAGCCAAATAATCCCTCTCATGCCCTCCTACTCTTTTTCAGCACATCACATCCTAGTGGAATTGAAGGTTTCCCCTTTAGACAAGAATGCTGATGTTCAGCTCACCCTGATCTCCATGGGACACTCTGAGACAGAGCTAAAACTCAAACTGTATGTATTATATTTCCAACAAATCATAACCAATGAGCTATAGCCTGTGTTCCTGTATTGCAGGTTTACTCCTTTAACTGTTTGAATCGTGTGTGAATATGTTTGTACATATGTATTTCAGAAATACAGATGAAATGGTGTATAAAACGTTGACTGCACACCCGGAGCAATTGTGTAAAATTGATTCAGTGCAGCTGAAAAACACAGGAGCACGATTCTACAGACAAGGAGATATTCATTTTGAGTATATCTGCATCTCTGAAGTCCCTAAAACCAGGTAAATGCAGCCTTAACATTTGCCTTTAAACTCTTTTTGTCTTTCTGAGCACTCATTACATGTATTACACTATATTTTGATTTGGACATAAAAAGTGCATGTCCCATGTAACACTGTATTTAATAATACTTTATTTCTGTTCAATTTGCAGAGGGCTGGATCCATTATGTGTTAAGAACATTAATATTGGACGGGGAGTACAATGGTCACATGACTTTGTACAGGTGTGCTAAATTTAAAAAACAACAAAACAAAACACAAAATCGACTTAAGAGAGCTTAAACGTTAACCAGCTTTTAAAGTCTTAAATGAGTGAAACTCAAGCAAAGGTCACACACTAAAACTTGGTTTGGGAGGCATTAAAGCTCACCGACAAAGACATAAATAGGATACAAGGGGACTGAAATGCATAAACTCTGTTAGATATATTTATTGTGTTTTCACAAAATGACTTCTTTTAGCCCTTATACAATGTACCATATGATATTTGTGCACTGGTCCAGAAAGTGATATATCATGAAATATCAGCCAAGAGTAATCAAGTCAGGCATTCAACACTCAGTAGTTCTTTTATGTTAATATGTGTGCTGAAAGTACTGGTTCATTTCCAATGATTTAAATGTTTGGAGTGTTGCAACATTCAAGGTACATTTTAATATTTTGGCACTCTGATTAGTGTTTATAACCGCATACAGCATACTAGATAATAAAAATTCAAATCTGTTAATTTACAATTATTTATAAGTCTTCTCTGCTTTGAAATCTTAAGAATTACATTTTGAACCCACCACTTAACAATTGGCCCCATGAAAATATTTTCACAATATGGTCAGTATACAGAAGATGTTGCTGAAGCATTTACTAACTTCCTGTTATATTATAAAGCAAACACTTTTGTGATTAATCTCATTATCTACATAGTATAACTCTGAAATGCTGTTAAAATTCATTTATGTTTGAAAATCTAATTTGTTGCTTTTACCTTAAACATCCTGTCTCAATTATTCCAAACATATTTAACTACTAAGCACATGCCAGTACAAATAAAAATAAAGCATTTTGAAATCACAGCAATGTAGAATCATATGTAATACAGTACCTGTTTTGGGAGGTTTGCTCTTGTTTTGTCCTGTCACTGTCCTAAACAAAAGGACATTTAATGAATCTTTTACTGTTTGGTGTTAATGTTGTCTTCATTTGTATGAGGGGAAACAGATTGGATGGTGATTTAGTGGAGTAATCGTTCAGATGTTATGGTCTTTATACTGCTGAAACCATTCCTACAGCTTTGGGGTGTCAGTAGGGGCCAGTGGGACACATCCTCTTTGGAATCGAAGTCTTCCTGGAGTATCATCCTCTGTTAGATGTATGGAAAAAGGTGACACATTAAAATGTCATTGAGAACACTGCAATAAATCCTGTAACTAATTTCAACACAACATAATCACATATAGAGGCGTGTTTTTTATCCATCAGTGTAGGTCTCACATTGTTTTTTGTAGCACAGGCTGTTTCTGGACATGATCCATATCTCTCATTCCTTTGGAAACTAGCGTGTGAAGGTCATGTCTCAAATGACAGCGGAACCCTCCTCCCTCCCACAGCTGTTCCACTATCCTGTACCCTACAAAGTGCAATCTGGCCCTTGTTGGCAAAGCCAAGTATTTCAAGAGCGAGGAGTGCTGGATAAACAGACTTGGTATGTTTGGATCCCTGGATGTCCCAAACCATTTCCAGTCTTTCATCTTTCAGTGTATGTAGTAAAATGAAACCAGCCTTCTCCTAAGCATAGAAACTTCTGTCAAAAAACACTGAATATAACTCCAATACCATGTACTAAATAAAACTTATCTCTCACCCAAGGAAGCCTTTTCCTCCTGCCAGAATGGATATGTGTTAAATGAGGACATACCATTGACTTTGTGTTGTGTTTGTTTGTGTTAAAACAATTTTAAGTTAAAGATAGTGTAGTTATTACAGAACCCCATATATATATATATATGCACACACTGTATATTATTATTTTTTATTATTAAAAGCCTAAAATTAAATTGATAAATTCATAATTTTCTAAATAATTATGATTCAATATAATTATATTAACTATTGACATTCCTTCCTTGCATATTAATTTATCAGATGACAGTAAAGTCATCAAAGACATAAATATAATCCAGGTCAAAAAGAAGCATAAACTAAAACAATTCATCATGCACATTCATCACTCTGCATTCTCTTAATCAGTCATTGTTTGTGCAGTTCAGTGTCCAGTTAGTGCAGTTGTGCCTTTTCATGCAAACCAGCCCCGTCAATCCTTACTTGTGTACTTACATTGTGATTTAAGAAGTGTCCCAGTGTGTTAGCGTCAACACCCCAACATTTACTTCAAATAATCTATCTCACTCCCATAGTCCATTAGAGAGCCTGTCATATCAGCAAAGTCCTCCAGAACCAAGCTGGTTGAATCCTCGCCAGAGGGCATCTCTGTGTCTGAGGGCCAGAGCTGGTGTGGAGATTTGGGCACAGGGGTCTTTCCCTGGTCCGGATGGATGTTTCTTGCATCTGAGCCCTGGTTAGATGGTTCTGGATCACCCGTCACGACTGTAGCATCTCCTTGGCTCCCCCTGGGCGGTGAACTAGCACTTCCACCCTCATTGCCCTGTGGCAAAGGGGCAAGGACATGGTAGAGACTGGGCAGACGGATATCAAGACGCACACCACTCTTGGCAAACAGCTTGTCATTGAGCGAGTACAGTTTGTCAGCAATGTCACTTCCGAGCATGACTGAGAAAAGTCGGGCAATGTAACAATCCTTAGACAGCAGAAGGTAAAGCCGACGTCTGCGCCAAGAGATGTAATGGCAGTCCGTCTCTGCGGTTAGTGTCACCTGTGGTCAAAAGGGTCATGGGAAGTTTAAGGGCATGCAATATTTCATGGTTGTATGAACATAGAATAATTTTGCTCAATGGCACGGACTAAAAGATTTTGCCATGATGTACTTGATCACATTGGTACTAATTATAAAAATGGTATGTTATCGTACCTGGAAGTTCCCTTCCTCTGTTGGTCTTAGAGACTCCCATTCTGGAGAATCAAGAAACTGGTGAGGGAAGATATAATGGAGAAACTGACCTTCTAAGGACACTCTAATCCTGTAAAAGCAAAAGATCTGGTTTGAAGCACATGCTAAGTTCTTAGAAATGTACTTTTTGAATTCATGATGGTTTCATATGGATTTGAAAAACATTTGTCCCATTTTCAAGAAGCATGAAATAAAAATTCACTGTAATTGTACATTATTAAATGTTAAAATGTTACACTCGGCTATACATTACAATACAGAAAAAAGATCTGCCGCTACTTCTGTTTTATCGCAACTTTAAATTTAATGACTGAAGATCTAATATGGTTTAACCATCAAGTAAAAGGTTATATATATTTTTTTTTTTTTTTTTTTTTTTTTTAAACAGTGTACACATCTTAATAATTATTTTCAAAAAAACTTTTAAAACATTTTTCAAGTTAGATATCACAAATTGGGAAGTTTCACCCCATGACATTTCACAACTTGACCTATCCTTGCTATTCATAAAAAGGTCAAATAATCTTATATTTTAAGAGACTTATTGACCTTGACACAGTCATGAGGTCTCCAGGGGTCCTCTCTATTGCATCATTTCCTGAGTAATATTTTTTTTCTTTGTCACATGATGGCACACAAAAGTGTTTTTTTAAGCACTGAAGAAGTTTTATTAAAATATTTTATATAATAATAAAATGTCTTATGTCTTACTACTACTATAATTGTAATGAACTGTATTAATTACATTTTTAATGATTTTTTAAAAATTAATTAATAGACAGGACAAAAAAAATACATTATTTACCCCCCCAAAATATTTTCATGTTAATTATTACTCTATAAGACTGAGAACGCAGCCTTGGTATTGCAAGTTACTGCAAACATTGAGATTAGCTCACCTTCAGGAAAATAAGCGATAATAGTGTGTTTACAGTAAGGATAGTGTTAAGAGTACCAGTTCAAGATCAATCAATAATCCAGAGAACCATATGAGAGTCTACAACTCTGCCAAACATTCTGTTTCTCACCTGCCAGAAAGAAGAAAAGACAACTGATCAATGGGTGTCTTCCCCTCGACAGCATACGTCTCCTCAGCCGCTAGAGAGAGCACTTTGCTCTCACTGGCAGCTGTGATCACCTTGAACACCTGCACAGGTACATCCAGAGGCAGATAGACCGCTGTGTAAAGCGCAGAAAGCTCCTCGTTAGCTAAACCGTCCTGCATCAGCCGAAAAATCAGATGACACACCTGGGCCAAACACTGCAGCATCAGCAGCAAATTCCAGAGGAAGACATCAAGGCCACACACTGTCAACCAGCCCCACAGTGTCAGACAGAGGAAAGCAGGAGCCAAAAAGCTGAAGATGTACAGAGCCCCATATGCTCCACTACCACCCATATAGCCCAAAAAAAGAATGGTGTTACCCAGATGGTACATGGCACCTTCGGTGCTGTTGGTCCATCCATTGCAGAGTGTGTGATTGTAAATTATAGAGTCAATCAAGATAGAGTCGCCACTATTCATGTTTTTGGCTCTGTTGTCTTCAATTCAATTCAATTCAATGGAAATAAAATTTTAAAAAAGAAGAGTGTCATCAAATACCTTGTTGGAAAAAGTAGAGGTTCATAAGCCCAACGTTTGTTAAAAATCTAAAACTAATGTCAGATATATATATATATATATATATATATATATATATATAAAGATTGTTCCCCTCAGCCTCTAACAGCCAGTGCACCTCTTACTGCCAAAAATATTTGGAATGAAAGAAGCTTAATAATTCCGTTCCATTCAGTTCCGTTGACACCCACTTTTCCTTTTGAATTTGACAATATCAGCCCTATACTGCCTCTGCTTCTGTTCCCTGTCCTACACTGGACTGTTGGAAACATGGAGTGGGAGAGGCGGGGATAGAGACCCTGAGAAGGATAACCATGTTTGGAATTGAAACGCAAGGAAGAAAGAGCCACAGACAGAAAGCAGGCTCGCTACTTAACATAACACAATGATGGCCGGGCAGAGTGATTACGATAACAAGTGACACGGAGAGAAGCTTTCACTGACGTCTGTGAAGATCTCTGAAAGCTCTGCCAGATGTCACCAACACTCGTTTTCTCACAGTCAAGCAAGACAATTTGTATTCCAGCTCTTCTAATGGTGTTTGAGGAGAGGAGCATCCTAGGCTATGGGGGGCATATTTAGAGAATCTGAAACAGATAAAATAACAGGGGAGGTCATGTAACACTGTTTACCTCCCCCTCCCTGGCCATTCCTTTTTGTAGTTTCACATAACTTGGCCCAGCAGTTGTTGGTAGTTAATATTCTGCTACGTAGCAGTGGAGTGCAGGAGTGAGTGGATTCATTTTTTTTATTTTTATTTAAGCATAAGTTATGAGAATATTGTTATTGCTATGTTGTCAATGTGTAAAATGCTAAATGGCATTGCATGACAGCATATTTACAATACATCATGTTCTTGAGTGGCCATTGCTTTTGTTACTCCATTAATATCAAAATATTAAGGGCAAATGGTAATTAACTGTTATTTTATAAGACTAATTAATATATTAATTGCCATTCATATAAGAATATAGAAATTTGGATGTTTTCCGGAATCTGTTCTTGTGTAAAAAAGACATTTCCAAGAATAATAATTATAGAATTGTTAAGTTACATGTTCCATCTTTTATAAATACACCAGAGATCACATATTATTTTGCACAATACATCATGTTCTTGAGTGGCCATTGCTTTTGTTACTCAAAACATTAAGTTCGTTTGTTAATATCAAAATATTAAGGGCAAATGGTAATTAACTGTTATTTTATAAGACTAATTAATTTATTAATTGCCATTCATATAAGAATATAGAAATTTGGATGTTTTCCGGAATCTGTTCTTGTGTAAAAAAGACATTTCCAAGAATAATAATTATAGAATTGTTAAGTTACATGTTCCATCTTTTATAAATACACCAGAGATCACATATTATTTTGCTAATTCATAGAAACTGTCAAATTTGGGGAATGTGGGGAAAAACCAGTTATGTACATTTGTTTAAATAAATAAATGCTCAGTTTTTCAATCTGTTCATCACAAAATGACAAATTGTTATGATCGAAACCAAACTAAAGTCTTAACAATTCTCCAGAAGGTTATATACTTGATTAAGAATTTGAAAATGGACTTTGTTTACTTTTGGTGCAGCTGGAAATGTAAAATATTTTGTTCTTAATTTCTTAGCTTCATCACTGGATAAAATAATAGAACGTTTGAAATGGATGTAATTTAATGACAAAGGCTTTCCAAATTGTGCTGTTGAGCAGTTTTAGGTTAGTGAGAGCAAGTCAATTCAACAAAAAAATTGAGTAGATGAGGAACTGCAGTTTTTTATCTCAAAATGTAGATTGTGGGAACTATGCAACAAAAATAACAATCCATTGCAGGAGCTGTGCAGTGATATGGTGAAGGAGGTGATTTGTGGTATTTAAGCACAAATGAAATGCTACTGAAGTACATTGGAATGACAAATGGTTTTGTGGTGTGATTAATAGATTCATTTGTTTTACCTCTTGATCATGACAGCTTATATAGATGGAAACATAACTGAAACATAATATCTCGTGCAGCTTATCTAGCTGTTATAGATAAGAGAGTGTTAAAGTTACCATTCAGAGTTGTCAATATGACATGTACCCTGCAAGAAAGGCATGCCAATAGAAATGTTCTCACTCACGTACTGTGCACACACTCTCATTGTAGTCAAGCACCATGAAAGCAGTTTGAATGACAGAAATAAACCAGAAAAAATATTTACACATTTAATATATGAAAAATATCACTTATGCATTTGCATATGTTGGTATTTAATTAATTAAACATCAATATTGCCCATATTTATATGGTAATTAGAAGCAGGAATAGCGAAATAAGCTAAATAAGCAATCTGTTCTTGTGTTTGTGTCAGTGACAAACTATACTTGTGAACTTAGTGAAATCATTAGGAGAAAATGCAAATTATGAATTGCATTTGCTGGGTTCACACCAGGTGTGGATACAGAATAAAAGCACTTCTGCGAATAGACCTCAGATTAGAGTGTGCTGGAAGCAGCAGCTCTATTTTAGGCCTGCGTGCATAGTTAAGTGCAGCTGTCACCAGCCAAATGCTGGTACAGGGAATTCGAAAGCCAACCGAGTAAGAAGCTTGGAAGAATAGTCTGTTTGCATAAAACTGCTTGGCCTGCATGGTGTCGAGCAACAGACACCACTTCATCAATAATTTAATATGTGATAAAATAAGCAAATCAAGCATGTGATACATATTGATTAGACTGAATAATTTAAAATAGGCTGTAAAAAGAATAGGCCAGCCTTGTTATAAGAATCTCTGCTTATTGCGTACAAATAAGAAGTGAAGAGAAAAGAGAATGGCTTAACATCTTGCATAGGATCTTTATTGGCCATGAACGTACGCAAATCACATAAGAAAGAAAAGAAAAGAAAAAGAAAGACATAAGAAATAAAAATAAAAGACAGACAACATTTCCCTCAGAGAAATAAATTCAGCCCCATATAATCTTCCCTACAGTGTAAAAGTATAAATAAAAGAGCACACCAGGTTCCATTTCACACAGGTTGTCACACACTACAAAAAGAAAGAAACAACAATTAAAAAAACAGTATAAATGATTCTTTAAACAAACACAAATGTCCTCATAACATAAGATACAGATTTGTTTTGTACTTAAAGGATATATTTAAATATATTTAAAGGGAGTTCAAATATGGAAGTTCTAGCATTATTTACTAATGGAGAATTTTAGCAGAATATCTGAGCTGCTCTGTTTCATACAATAAACTTGAGGATCAGGGGCTGTCAAGCTCCAAAATTCACCATTCACTTTTATTTTATGGAAGAGAACAGCTTGGCTATTTGCTATAAATAACTCCACAGAAGAAAGTCAGTCATGTAGAAGAAATTAGGAAGCAAAAATGACAATTTTGTGGTGAACTATTCCTTTCGATTCAATTTGCAGAGCAGAGATATCTGAAAATTGCATTACCAAAATTCAAGATGTGGAAAAATAAATGTGAGAAATATCACCAAGGATATTCTTTGTAAGAGACTGGTCATTGTCGTAACACTTACCATTCACTCAATCTGATGATAATGATGGTGGTATTATATCTTAAAGCCAAGTGCCCTCATGCAATCCTTGTGCGCTTCGATGAGGTCTGTGCAGCTTTCTTCTCCCTTTTCAATTATGCTACAATGAAGACAACAGTGTGTCATGACATCTTACTAAAATGTATAGGAAGAGTTTACCCAAAAATAACATTTATGTTATTTATTCACCCTCATATTGCTCCAAACCAGCTTGATGGAACACAAGGAGAAATGTGAAGAACTGCTCCTGCCACAATATTACTCAAACACTGGTTCAGCAGTATACAAATAATATAGACTACATTTATAGGGACATGCATCCTTTTGGAAGTCTGAAAATCTCACTAACTTTTTATTTAAAGTAAAATACTGAGCAGTGCAATCCTTCAAAAATTATTTTGTGCAACACAGAATAAATTAATGCAAGTTTGGGACAACACAAGAAATAATTATGTAAATAATGACTGAATTTTTAGGTAAAATATCTCTTTAAAGCAGAAGTTAACTAATAGCTAAAAGCCTCCTCACCAGGCATCTCGTGCTTTTTTGGTCTCAGGACACGCACAGCATGGTTTCAGTGGTTTCTTCTGCTCTGCCCCCTCTATTGCTGCTGAAGCCTCCACACTGGCTGCTGACAGGCTCGACATTTCCACTTTCAAACAATGTCTGAGAAAAACAAACGAGCAGGGGACATATTATTTATCAGCTCTAAACTTCCGTTCCAACATGACATATTTTGAACAGCCAGCAGTGTGCAGCAAACTAGCCACCATATTACTAGTTACATCACGTCCACTGCTGTTCAACGTTTCGTTGTAATACTAGCTGTTACACCTCGCTGTCAAAGATGCTGTGTCTTATCGGATGTAAGAAATATTCAAATCGTGCTGTCAGGTAATAAAATAAAAACATGTCTCTGACAAACTTGTACTCACTATTTATGATGTAGAGACTGGTGTGCTCACGTGTGTCCTTCCTTACACAACCTGCTACTGTCAAACAGCACAACCCCGTGAAAGCGGAAGTGTCGCGTAGCTTCCGGGTCAAGCATTTAAATAAACTAAGCTACAGCCATTTATTAACTAAATATGATTTACATTCACACACAGTTTAATGGCTAAAGTTAAATGAAACGCGATTCGATCTAAAATCAGGGCATATCAATAAAACAATAAAACACAATAAAAGTCTTGTACAGAATAGAAGTCATTTAAAGTTTAGGTTTATTAATATTGTTTATATTATCATAATATTATTTTATCATTAGCCAACTTTTCAGTGTATTCATTTTAATACATATTTTAATAGAATTGTAATTACATATTTAATAGTTTAATCAAATTGTCTCATTTTTCCAATTTATTTCAGTATTATAAACAAGATTTTGCAGGCAAATTCACATAACTCTACTTTTCATTCACGCAGCTTACAAACGAACATATGTTCATACTGATACAGCTTACTTCATGGATGACTTTGATATTGATGATATCAATATTTTTTTGTGAGAATTCTAAGGTGTAATCCATCTAAGAATGTTGCTATGTTTATTCAGAGCAACTACCTTGGCTTATGTTTTTTCAAGAACTGCTCAAAAGATACCAGACCTAAGACCTGTTTTACATTCTGTACATAAGTGGAACTTCGAAAGAAGTGCAAGTGGGCACATATAGCTTTCATGCAGACCTTGCTTCTAATGTGTAACAGTTATGTCTCTGTACAGAAAATAAAGTGATTTCAGGGTTACTACATTGAGTATTTCCTTTGATTATTAACATAAATGTCAAAATTATTATTGGTTATTGGAAGTGAGCTTTTTATTTTCGTTAAAATCAAATTTACATGAGGAGGGAAATAAATGTCTAAATGATAATCAGTCTACCAGAACCCAAACCCCAAAGTAGCAAAAACAATGCTGTCTTGATGCCTGTCACTGAGTGTGCAACTTGCATCAAGTCTGACACATACTTGGGTAACAGTTTATATTGCAAAATATTGTGTTGATAAATGTTTATATTGCATTTTCTCTGCATTTTCTGCTACGTTCAGCATGCTATGAGCGGCAAAAATAGAACTTTTCAGTCATGACGTCGATTTGTAGGTCAACACAGAACGCCAACTCAGCATGGATTCCCTCAGGTGTTTCTACTGGGTTTTTAGTATATATTTGCTCGTTTGTATGTTGTGCTTAATTTATGAGTTGGCAAAAGGTGACTTTGGAGATTTTTTCTACAACATAAATTAAACAGCCATACTGTACCTCAAACATGAATTCAGAAAGTGCTGTGTCCGATTAATTACACATGATTTGTCAAGCAAGTAAACAGATGTGTAATTAATCAGAAAACCATTGCAAGCGCGGGTTGCACCCCTCTAAGGACGGCCCTGCACACACACACACACACACACACACACACACATATATATATATATATATATATATATAATGT